GAGTGCATACCATGTCAGAGAAGGAAACCTCCTAAGAAAACCCCAAAAGCTCCTTTAAAGAAGTATGTCGTTGGGGCGCCCTTAGAACGATTAGCCGTTGACATCTTAGGCCCTCTGCCTGAAACTGCAGATGGGATGAAGTATGTCTTAGTCATCGAAGACTATTTCACGAAATTTGCAGAGTTGGTGGCCATGAGGAACCAAGAGGCTCACACTGTAGCTGATGCTGTTCTTAAGGAGTTCATTTGTAGGTATGGGGCACCGTTACTTCTCCATTCTGACCAGGGCAGGCAGTTCGAGTCTAATTTATTCTCCGAGCTATGCTCAATGCTAGATATAAGTAAGACGAGGACAACTGCCTACCACCCACAGTCAGATGGAATGGTTGAACGGAGCAATCGTACCATAGAGGCCATGCTTGCAAAAGTTGTGTCTCCTTCACACAGGGATTGGGCAGAACATCTACCTTTCATCGCTGCAAGCTACAGGAGTGCCAAACACGAAAGTACAGGTTTTAGCCCTGCTCAACTTATGTTTGGCCGTGAGCCAAGGTTAGCTTCAGAGCTTGTTTTTGGGACTCCACCCTTGGGGGAGGAAGAAGAAGATCGAGGATGCTATACTTCTTTTTGCCAAGATCTCGAAAAGACCTTGTTACGTGTCCATCAATGCGCCCGAGAGAACCTAGATATATCAACTGACAGGCAGAAAAAATACTATGATGTCAAATCTGCAGCTCGAAACTTCGGTGTAGGAGACACTGTGTGGCTACACACTTCTGTCGTGAAGCCGGGAACTAGTCCAAAGTTTGCCAATCCTTGGACCGGGCCTTTCCTAGTTTCTCAGAAGATCTCTGATCTCAATTTTGAAATTCAGATGGGAACTAATGGGCCGTGCAAGGTTGTACACTCAAATCGCCTCAAGCAGTACTTTGGGAAGGTGCCTGATTGGATCTCTAACCATCTATCTGAACTCACTAACCCTGAACCTTTGACTCCTAAAGCTAACAATGCAAACAATTCTTTCTCCACCACTCCAAACCACTCTGACAACATCACACTTCCAAATACCACTCCATCACCCGTTCCTACAGAGTTTGATCCCATACAGGTAGATGTGCCAGAGAGGAGAACCACCAGGAGGACCAGATGTAAGCCTGCCTGGCTGAAGGACTATGATACATCATAAACCTTAAATTTACATTGTTTAGTGAAAGCCACTCTCTATTTGTATTGTTACAGGTCTACATCTGTGGAGCCATAGTGGACAGGAAGCTCTGTGGGAGGCGTTGCGAAAGTGAGGCTTCATTGAAACGTCACCAGGAATCCTTCCATGGTGTAGTCCTGGAGGTTGACCAACGGAAGAACTACACCTGCCATTACTGTGGTCGCCACTTCGACCATAAAGCTGATGTAAAGGCTCACGCCAGAAGACATAAGAAGGACAGGAATTATGGGCGCCATTCATCTTCATCAGCTGAGCCATCTTTTTCCAAGGGCCG